GGAAGGTTGGGCAATCTACTTCCGTAGTGATACCACCTCAGAAACCCAGGGAGGGGTCGCTGTGAGACGGCTCCAACTCCACGGCAGTGGGTCTGGTTTGCTTTGGTTTGGTTTGTCACCTGGTGACATAGGTGGTGATGAGGGACTGTGCATTAAGGCAGACCTGAGCTCATGTTACACGGGGCAGTCTACTTCCGTAGTGGCACTGCCCCGGAAACCCAAGGAGGAATTGCTATGGGTCGAATCCGACTTGACGGCAGTGAGTTTGGTTTTGGTTTGAGCTCGTGTTACCACTTAATACCTGAACCAGTTCCTCTCTGAAACTCACATGTGAATGGGAGTGATCGTGCTCATCGGGTGGAAGTGCCGAGCGTCAGCCAGGGGGTAGTGATGGCCCTGCAAGGGGTAGCTGCCGTCCCCTTCATCGCAGCACCTTCTTCCTCCACCTCTTTCTCACATGGGTGCTTAGGGGAACAGATGAAAAAAAAGTGTTTTGAAAAATACAAACTTTTCTGTAGTGCTAAGCTGCCTCCCGGTGATCATTTCTCTCATCTGTTGGTGGGATCCCCAGTTCCTACTGATTTTGAAAGTCATGAAAAATGACTTTCTCAAACACCATGTTTTTCTTCCTACAAAAAGGATGGGGGGCAGTGTCTTCTGACCTCCTCTATCTTCACAAGGCGTGAGAATCGTCACCAACAGCCCAAGGCTGATTCCTGTGAGGCCAGACATGCTGCCACCCTCCAGCCCTTTGACTAATTCTGATGGCAGCCGTCCTTCCCAAGACACTCATCACTTCTCTACTACGTTCACAGTGGCCACACAGAACTCACAGGTAGCACTCATGACTATGGGGTTTGTTAGGGAAGTGTCAAGTTCCAGTTCAGGTTCAGGAATGCTCAGGATACAATTTTCCGATTAGGACAACCTCCCCAGTCACTCCCTCAAGCACGCCTCTTTGGCCCTTGGCCTCTTGGCCTGGCCTCTGCCCTGCTCTGGCAGGCGTTACAAAGCTCTTTTAACTCTTCCAGTAGGGCCACCCCACTCTGCCAGCAAGCCTCCTGCCCAAAGGCACTCAGCTTTCTTGCCCCAAGGGCCAGCAAACCCGTTGCTCTGTCTCCTACAAGTCTCCTGCAGCTGCTACTACAGTCTCTCTGCCATCTCCTCAGCACAAGGATCTCAGGTTAAGGGTGCATTCCAGTCCCGACTCTTCTCTGTCGTGATGGTAGTGTGATTCCTCCCCTTCTGGCTCTGCTGTTGGGTGCCATCGAGTCAGCTCCGACTCATTGCGACCTTATGTGCAACAGAGCGAAACACTGCCTGTTCCTGTGCCAGCCTCACAGTCCTTGCTGTGCCTGAGCCCATAGTTGCAGCCACTGTGTCAGTCCCTCTCATTGAGGGCCTTCCTCTTTGTCCCTGACCCTCCTCCACTTTACCAAACATGAGATCTCTCTCCAGGGAATGGTCCCATCTGACAACATGGCCAAAGTAGATGAGATGAAGTCTGGCCGTTCTTGCTTCCAAGGAGCATTCCAGCTGCACTTCGTCCAGGACAGATTTGTTAGTTCTTTTGGCAGTCCGTGGTACTTTCGGCATTCTTCACCAACACCACAACTCAAAAGCATCAATTCTTCTTCAGTCTCCCTTATTCATTGTCTAGTTCTCACATGAATATGAGGTGATTGGAAATACCATGACTTGGGATAGGTACACCTTAGTCTTCAAAGATGTATCTTTGCTCTTCAGCACCTTAAAGAAGTCTTTTGCAGCAGATTTGCCCAGTGCAATATGTCGTCTGATGTCCTGACTGCTGCTTCCATTGGTTGATTGTGGAACCAAGTAATAGAAAATCTGGACAACTTCAATCTTTTCTCCGTTTATTGTGATGCTACTTCTGGTCCAGTTGTGAGAATTTTTGTTTTCTTGTTGGGATACAATCCATACTGCAGACTGTAGTCTTTAATCTTCTTCAGTAAGTGCTTCAAGTCACCTTCACTTTCAGCAATCAGAGTTGTATCATCTGTATATTGCAGGTTGTTAATGAGTCTTCCTCTGATCCTGATGCCACATTCTTCTTCATATAGTCCAGCTTCTCAGAGTATAAGTATGGTGAAAGGATGCAACCCCAATGTACTCCCTTCCTAATTTTAAACCATGCAGTATCCCCTTGTTCTATATTAACAACAGACTCCTGGTCTATGTACAGGTTCCTCATGAGTACAATTAAGTGTTCTGGAATTCCCATTCTTCTCAGTGTTATCCATAATTTACTATGATCCACACAATCAAATGCTTTTGCATAGTCAATAAAACACAAGTAAACATCTTTCTGGTATTCTTTGTTTCAGCCAAGATCCCTCTGATATCAGCAATGATATCCCTCGTTCCATGTCCTCTTCTGAATCCAGCTTACATTTCTGGAAATTCTCTGTCAATATACTGCTGCAACTGGTTTTGAATTATCTTCAGGATTTTACTATGTGGTATTAGTGATATTGTTTGATAATGTCTACATTCTGTGGGATCACCTTTCTTTGGCATGGGTACAGATGTGGATCTCTTCCAGTCAGTTGGCCAGGTATCTGTCTTCCAAATTGTTTGACATAGCTGAGTGAGTGCCTCCAGCACGGCATCCATTTGTTGACGTATCTCAGTGGGTATCCCGTCAATTCCCGGAGCCTTGTTTTTCCCCTATTCCTTCAGTGCAGCTTTGACTTCTTTCTTCAGTACTGTTGGTTCTTCATCATATGCCACACCCTGTAATGGATGAACATCAAACAGTTCTTTTTGGTACAGTGACTCTGTGTATTCCTTCCATCTTCTTTTGATGTTTCTTGCATCATTCAATATTTTGCCCAGAGAATCTTTTCAGCATTGCAACTTGAGGCTTGATTTTTTTTCTTCAGTTCTTTCAATTTGAGAAATGCTGAGTGTGTTCTTCCCTTTTGGTTTTCTAACTCCAGGTCTTTGCACATTTCATTATAATAATTGATTTTGTCTTCTCGAGCCACTCTTTGAAATCTTCTGTTCACATCTTTTATTTTGTCATTTCTTTCATTAGCTTTAGCTACTCTGCATTCAGGAGAAAGTTTCAGAGTCTCTTTTGACATCTATTGTGATCTTTTCTTCCCTTCCTGTCTCTTCAGTGACCTCTTGCTTTCTTCATGGATGATGTTCTTGATGTCATCCCACAATTCCTCTGGTTTCGGTCATTGGTGTTCAGTGCATTAAATCTGTTCTTTAGATGGTCTCTAAATTCAGGAGGGATATAATCAAGGTCATATTTTGGCACTTGTGGACTTGTTTTAATTGTGTTCAGCTTCAACTTGAACTTGCATATGAGCAGTTGATGGTCTGTTCCACAGTCAGCTTCTAGCCTTGTTTTCGCTGAAAATACTGAGCTTTTCCATCACCTCTTTCCACAGGTTAGTTGACTGATTCCTGTGTACTCTATCTGGCGAATTTCACATGGATAGCCACCATTTATGTTGTTGAAAAAAGGTATTTGCAATGAATAAGTTGGTCTTGTAAAGTTCTATCATGTCATCTCCAGCCTTATTTCTATCACCAAGGCCATATTTTCCAACTACTAGTGATTCTTCTTTGTTTCCAACTTTTGCATTCCAATCACCAGTGATAATCAACACATCTTAATTGCATGTTTGGTCAATTTCAGACTGCAGAAGTTGATAAAAATCTTCAATTTCCTCATCTTTGGCTTTGGTGGTTGATGCATAAATTTGAATAATAGTAGTATTTTAACTGGTTTTGCTGGTAGGCATATGGATATTATCCTATCACCAACAGCATTGTGCTTCAGGATAGATCTCAAAATGTTCTTTGTGATAATGAATGCCACACCATTCTTCTTCAGTTTTTCATTCCATATGGTCATATGGTTGTCTGATTCAAATTGGCCAAAAACAATCCATTTCAGTTCACTGATGCCTAGGATATCGATCTTTTGGCATTCCATTTCATTTTCAACAACTTCCAATTTTCCTAGATTTATATTTTGTACATTCCATGTTCTAATTATGAATGGATGTTTGTAGCAGTTTCTTCTCATCTTGAGACTTGCCCCATCAGTAAACAGAGGTCCCAAAAGCTTTACTCCATCCACATTATTAAAGTGGACTCTACTCTGAGGAGGCAACTCTTCCCCAGTCGTATTTTGAGTGCCTTCCAACTTGAGGGGCTCATCTTCCAGCAGTATATCTATCGGACAGTGTTTCAGGACCATTCATAAAGTTTGCCAGTAATATATCAGACAGTGTTTCAGTGCTACTCATAAGGTTTTCGCTGGCCAGTTCTTTGAGAAGTGGATGGTCTCTTCCTTCTTCTTAGTCTTGAAGCGCCGCTGAAACCTGTCCACCATGGGTGACCTTGCTGGTATTTGAAATATCGGTGGCATAGCCTCCAGCCTCATGGCAGCATGCAAGCCACCAAAGGACAACAAACTGACAGGCGAGTGGTGGTCTGCCTTCAGAAAAGGGCTCATTTTAAGCCTAGCAGAATGACAACACTGACCAGTTCCCACCTTAGGGTTCCATACACCTTATTGCTATGGTCCCACCCCCCCACAAGGGTGCCCCAAAACCAAACCAAATCCTTGCTATCAAGTCGATTGTCTCGTAGCAACCCCTTCTTAGGTTTCTGAGGCAGTATCTCTACGGAAGTAGATTGACCAGTCTTCTTTCTGAGGAGTGGCTGGTGGGTTTGAACCGCCAGCCTTCTGATTACCAGTCAAGTGCCTTAGGCACTACACCACCATTTACCTTATTTGCATTACTAACAAGCTGTCCAGTCCCTTAGTGGGCCACAGACACCTTACATTTTCATAGTTCCGCCCAGGCGTCTGGTGGGATTCACAAAGACCATGGCTGCAAGAGCCAGATCGAGTCATTCCGTGCCCCATTCCCAGATTAAGATTTAGAAAGTGTGCCCTGTCTTGACTCCCCCTGTGTTCTCACAAAGCCTTGTGCTGTGTTCCCAGGTAACACAGGCAGGACGCGCGGAGGCCTCTATTGTCGCCATGCCGTTCCCGTTTGGAAAGTCACACAAATCTCCAGCAGACATTGTGAAGAACCTGAAGGAGAGCATGGCTGTTCTGGAGAAGCAGGACATTTCTGACAAAAAAGCAGAGAAAGTATGTATTTGGCTTTATTTTCTATTTACGGTGTTTGATTAGAAGCAAAAGAAAAATTATGAGGTGATTTTTAAAAATCACTAAATCTCAATTTGGGTTCATTGCTTTTTTGGGTTTTGTTTTTCTTTTCTATTGTGATTTGGGTGAAAGTTTACAGAGCAAATTGATTTTCCATACAGCAGTTCATACGCATTTTGTCTCTTGACAGTTAACTGCAATTCCCCACAGTTGTAACAGCTCTCTTCCCACTTCCTCTCTGCAGTTACCTCTTCCCTGTTATTTGGAGTTTTAAAATATAATCATAGAGTGGCAGTTGTTACTGATGAAACACCACCAGTTTGCTCCTATACCGCCATCTAACACACATTTCTAACTTTTCCTCAGTTTTTCAATTGAGGCTTTTACATTAATCTCATTTTTTCCTTCATTCTTTGAAGTACTTTATCTGACTTCTTCAAAGCACTTTTTCCGTTGACATTCTTCCAGGAGGAAGCCTCCTCAGTTTCCTCCTGCATTCCCTATATCCGTGTGCAGCATCACCCCCACCCAGTCACCACAGTCCCAGACGGGACCTTCATCCCAGGCTTGTCACATCCCGTTGTCTCTCAAACATCATCTTTCCCTATAGCTAGTGTCTCCTAATGGAACTGATTCTGTCCTCCATTCCTCCTTGAAGAAGATCCTCATAGTGTTTCCTGTGAACCTTCACAGAGGAAACTCCAGACAGAACAGAACCCATGGCCCATAGACAGACAGAACCTAGGCCCGGTTAGAGTAGGAGAAACCAGCCACACACTGCCTAGCAGTAGCCTCTTCACTTCATCATCTGAAATAGCCCTGCCTAAACCTTCAGTGTGGACTCCTCACCTGGCCCGTTGTGGCCCATGGTATCACATGGAAAGATGAAATATAGTTATGGTGCCATTTCTTCCAAAATTAATTTTTAAGATTAAAGCCATTCCACTTAAAATCACAGTAGAATCCTTCTGGAACTTGACAGTTGTTTCTCAACCTCTGGAGAAATACACGGAACAGCTACCAAGTCAGGGTGCGGCTTAAGGAATTTGCATTCTTTTTAAACTCCCACAAGAAATGCACTTTAAAGATAATGACACAAATAGACTAAAAGTGAAAGGGTGAAAAGTGGTAAAAGACAATCATTTGCTTGTAAGATCAAGAAGACAGACAGGCATGTCTGTTTTTCCCACTTCTGTTCAGCTTGTACTGGAGGTTCTGGGCAGTGCTGTGAGGCAACAGAAAGGAACAGAGACATTCCGTTAGAAAGGAAGAAGTGAAACTCTTACCTGTAGACAACGGGATCTTCAACATAGAAAATATGAAGGAATCTACAAGAAGAGCTAGTAAACTAATCTGTGAGTTCAGCAAGGTTCTAGGTTACAGGATTGTTATTAAAAAATCATTTGTATTTCTATATAGTAGCAATAGACAATCAGAAATTAAAATGTTACAAAATTCCATTCACAATAGCATCAAAGGATGTGGAATACTTAAGGACAAACTTGACAAAAGAAGTGAAAGACATGTACACTGAAAACTATATGATACTGACAGAAATTAAAGACCAAAATAAATGGGAGATACTCCTTGTTGTTCATGGTTTAGGACATGAAAACGTCAGTCTTCCTCGAATTGATCCATAGATCAGTGCAACCCCAATGAAAATCCCAGCAGACCTTTTTTTTTAAAAAAAAACTAAATCGACAAACTGATTCTAATATTTACATGGAAATGCAGAAACCTAGAATGGTCTAAACAACTCTAAATAAGAACAGTGGTGTTTAGTGGGCTCGAATTCCTGATTTCCAAGGTTGTTATAAAGCTACAGTAATCAAAACAGTATAGTATTGACATAAAAATAGGCAAATAGATCACTGACCCAAAATAGAGCATCCTGAAATAAATTTATCTACACATATATAGAAAACTAATTTTTGACAAAAATGCAAATCAAGTTCCGTGAAGAAAGGGTAAGTCATTTCAACAGCTGCTGCTAAAACAAATGGCTATACACACCTAAAATAAAGAAAGTTCCTTTCAGACACAAAAATTAACTCCAGATAGATCGTAAAAACTACAACTGCAGAAGAAGAAAACAGTAAAAAAATCTTTGTGACCTCGGGTTAGGTAAAGATTTTTTCAGATAAGACATCAAAAGCATACTCCATGGAAGAATAAATTGGTAAGTTAGACTTCATCAAAATTAAAACTTTCTGCTCTTCAAAAACTAGTCACATACAGGGAGAGAATCTCTGCAAAGAGTGCGTCCAAAACAGACAGAATGCACTCAAAACCCAGCAGTAAGGAAGTCCGATAAAAACGGAGACATGTACACTGAAAACTACATGAGATTTGAATAGATACTTTACTAAAGAAGATATACATAGGACAGATAAACAAATCTTTAGTCACTGGGGAATTGCAAAGTAAAGCCACAGTGAGATACCACTACAATGTATTAGAATGGCTGAAATTGAAATACTGTCCCAAATAACCAACTTATGCTGGTTGCAATATAAGATAGTACAGCCACTTTGGGAAACAGTTTGGCAGTTTCTTAAAAAGTTAAACTTGACATCTGTTGTATGATCTAGCCTTTTGACTCCCTGGTATCTGCCCAAGAGAAGAAGAAATAAGAGTCCATGGAAAGACATGTACATAAATGTTCATAGCAGCTTTATTTGTGATGGCCCAAAGCAGGGAACAATCCAGGTGTATGGATAAACTAATTGTGGTTCATCCATAAAATAAAATAACTACTCAGCAGTAAAATGAACCAGTGGTGCACACAGCAAGATGAATGGATTGCAGAGTAATTATGCTGAATGAAAGAAGCCAGACTACAGTGTGTGATTGTGTTTATGTAAGACTCTATAAATGCAGCTAATGCATAGTGACAGAAAGTAGATGGGGGTGGCTTTGGCATGGGGAGAGTGGCAGGACAGAAGGGACTACGAAGGGACACTAGGAAACTTTTGGTGGTAGTGGATATGTTCACTGCCTTGATTCTGATGATGGTTTCACAGGTGGATTGTATGCCAAAACTTAACAAAGTTTGCACTTTAAATAGTTTGTTGTGTGTCAACAATAATGCAGTAAAGAGACTAAGAAAAAGACCTGCCCGTGTGCCAGTGGGGGCAGATGTGGCTTAGAAACTAATGTGTATTCCCTGAGAATAGATTGTGTAACAGGCACGGAAAGTGTGTGACTTCAAAGGGATAATGTACTGTGTGGGCACGTCCCCGCGTGAGGCTGTAGGGAACTGGAACCTGTGGAGGGGAGTGACAGGCTCACCCAGGAGTGGGGGCCTCTGCCCTGGGGAGCTGTGAGGCAGAGAGCCATCAGCAGGGCATACTGAGGAGGAGGAGTCCTGCTGGCCCAGCAGTTAAGCACTCGACCACTACCTAAGAGGTAGGCACTTCAGACCCACCAGCCACTCTGCAGAATAGACCTGGTAATCTGTCTCTGTCAAGATTCCAGCCCAGGAAACGCTGTGGCACGATTCTGCTCTGTCCTGTAGGGTCGCTGTGAGCTGGAAGTTACTTGACAAACCCCACAGTGTTAGGGAGAGCAGCACTAAAGTACTTAGTAGAATGTTTTTAGGGGACCGTCTAATGTGAGGAAAGGGTTAGATCTATTCAACGCAGTGGCAGGGAATAGAGTTAGGACCTGTGGGTGAGAGTGCAACAGAGTCCCATTTTGTCTTGATATTAGGAAACAGAATTGGTGGAAATTGCCTTCCTTGGGAGACAGCAAGTTTCCTGTCTCTGGAAATGTATCCGCATGGACTGGGGGCCGCTTGGTTAAGTGTGATAGAAGGAATTCAAGCCCTGCATAATTGACGCAACCGTGTTTTGATCCAACACCATACTGTGCAAAATGTCTCATAAAGAATAAGCCTCCATCTTAATGTCGAACTAGAATCATTTCCTGTTACTATTCTCATGAGCCACATGAGGAAAGCTCTCGATGATGTATCCTAGGTAACCTGTTATAGTAGTGTCACAGGTGGAGTTCACACCTAAGCCTGCCAACCACACAGTCAAATTAAGCCGATTTCTCCTTTGTACAAATATCCAAGGACATCTTCTGCCTCAGGTCTCGTGATCTTTTAGACAGAATTATAAATACAGCATTGGAATATTTATTCCTTTATTTGTAATGTGTTGGTATTTTCACTTGTTTTATATGGTACATAGTTGCCATATTAAGACTTGTGTATGATACAAATAGATTAGTCCCTTAGAAACTGTGCCACAGCTTTTTAAAGAATTTGTACAAGATTCATTTCCTCAGACCTTAAAAATGTGGATACTCTTACCGCCCTTATTTTTAGGGAACTAAAGGAGGAAGAAAAATTGGTTCTTTCATTGTACACAGCCACGCGGCTCTGGTGTCCACAGGGATTGTCTGCACACTCCTTGCCCACTACCTGCTATTTAAAGAAGGTGTGGCTGCCTCACTCAGCTGCGCTCAGCTCCCTTCGTCTCTGGAATGCATGTGTTCATAGCGTTGAGTAGCTATTTTCACTCATTTCATTAGAGGAGTATGTTTGCTGGCATATTTAGGAGGGAGGACAGGGGAGCCTTTTCATAGCACGGCCACTCAGCAGTGACTCATGGTTCCTAAGCTTGCTTAGAGTGATCTTTAATAGCAGAGAGTGAGTAATAGGTTTGTCTTGGTCCCTGAGCTTTCAGCTTAGGAAATGCAGACATTTCTTCAACACAGAAGTGGGTGGTTTTTTGTTTTGTTTGTTTTTTAAAAAAACATTTACTGCAGGAATTAATATGGTAACAGAATTGTTCTTGTCATCACATATTTGAAGCCATCAGTACCTGTGTGTTTACTTTTAGAGTCCATCTCACATCACGTTTCTTCAGTCACTTTAAGAATTTCCTTTTGTCCATGAGGTGGTACAGTAAATCCCTTTTTGAGAATGAACTGAAATTTAAGGCTTAAATCAGCTTAAATATATTGGTATG